TTTTCTTGTACTGTAGTTCCATTGACAGTTTACATCTATTGTTGATTAAGTGGATAGGTAGTTAGGTACATATATACTTTAAATATTTTAACTGCAACCATGACTATTCAACTCATTTGGGAAGTATATATTATATTATATATCTTGGCTCTTTGCTATAATGATACTTTACTACAACAAGAATATTCCTCTATCAAATCTGAATTACTCGATTTCGCAATCTTCATTCCTAAAGTGGGGAAAAAAACGTAAAATTTTAGTTTACTTAGTTTACATTAAATTTTATTCTGTGTCAATTTTGTTAAAAAAAGGAGCAGTTGATCAAACTGAAATTCCGAAAAAAAAAATATAAAAATAAATTAATAAATTGAAAAAAATTGTAGATAAAAGAAAGACAAATAAAAATAAGAGGTCATTCACTGTTTTGAGATAAAGGGTGGCCCGTAAATTAGTCGTTTTTATTAGAACATACCACTAACTCTATTGAAATAATTATTTTAGAAAAATAAACTATTAGAATACCGCCAAATAGAAACAGAAATTCTGAAAGTTTTTTTGTGCTTGGATGATAATCTGTCATCGATAGGAAAATAATATGATGAAACCAGAAATAATTTTAGGAAAATCGAGTCGAGAATTTGATATGTATCAAAAAAATAAAAAATTGGGCAAATATATCACAAAATTTTAAAATTTATTGTACATAATTGACAGCTTAAAAATTTTATTGAACTAAACTGTAATCCTAAAAAAATAGCAGTTGTATTAGGAAAAAACCAAAATTTATGTACTTAAATTCTATTTATACCCCAAAAATGGGGTAATTAAATGATAAGGAAAATCGAGTAATTTGTAACTATAGATCTCATATTTCTTCTATATCTTTTTCAAGTATACCGTGGAAACAACCAAAATTTATGTACTAAATTATATTTTTACCCCTTAAAATGGGGTAATTAAAATGAAAAAGCAAAATATAGCAATTTATATATTTATCTCATATTTCCTCTACATTATTTTTCCATTATTGCTTCTAAAGTAATGAGCATATGTTTAGACTTTAGTGCAACTTGGAAAATAAAAAATTAGGTAATATCCAGCCAGAGCCAGTACAGAATTGAAAGCTGCTGGACTTTTCCTTATTTTATGTTGGAATTTTTGGAGCAATTAGTCAACTATTGCATGGAAATGCTGCCAAGTGGCTATTGCGCGTGAAAAAGTAGTCGCAAGGATGTAACATCTTTTTATGTGAATACTAAATTCTAAAAATCATTGACTTGCCATATGTTCATGTCTAAACAATTTGAAATTGATTGAGGACGGCCTGACAACTTTAGAAATTTCTTCTTGCAATTTTTGTATATAAAAAAATTTCTTCTTGCAATTTTTGTATATATATATATTTTTTTAATTTCAATATGGTAGAATAAAAATTTGGTCTGTCGAGCTCGACTCATTAATTAATTGAATCAATAAATGAGATTGTGATCTAACTTAGTTCGTTTATCAAAATTAACGAGTCGAATTGACATGATAGTTTATGATATTACGTAAAATATAATATTTTTTGAACCTAAAAACCTAATGAAGCGAACTCAAATCATTACCTAAATGAACTATAAAATGAGTTGAGCTGAACTTGAGCCTCAACGACTATGAAAACCCTTATTGCAATTTTTGTATTTTTCCATTCACTTAGCAGATATTATAATATCAAAAATGGGACACAGTGGAATTAAATTTTAATCTCATATGTTGTTGTCACAATAGTATGAATAGATAATGGTGTAAACGAGCTTAGCTTTAGTCTTTATCGAGCCGAGTCAAGCTTGACTCGTTTATAGATATTAATTATTAGACGAGTTCGACTTAACGAGTCGAGTTATGAAAAACTACACAAAAATCACTATTTGAGACCCATCCTAAAAAAAAGTGGAAAACCGTTGATTTTATCGGGTTGGCCCAACCCGTCTCGAATTCGAGCCGACCCACAGAGTCATACAAAATGACCGACCCTGATCAGACCTGGTTAAAATTCGAACACGACCTTGACCCGTGGTCAACGGGTGACCCGTGGCCACAAGCAAAATTGGAAAACGAAGGCACATAATCAATGGAACTCTATTTACATTGGAAAATTATGTACTATATTTTCAAAGTGGCGTGAACGGGTGGGTAAGGCCGCATTTGGGCATGACTCCAAATCCACGCCGTGCGATCACCACTTTCTACGCTAAATTTGTCTTTGGTAATTTGATATTTTGATGTGCCCCCAATCAATGCACTAACCATTGACAATCACATGTGTTGTTAATTTATTATCATGAAATTGATCTTAATTTTATAACGTGTTCATAGACACGCCCGCCTGTTTACACACACGTGTATCTGATTGTTATAATTGAACCATCACAACGAAGGAGCCAACGAAGGCCCGGGGGCCCGTGGGCCCCCCTCATTTCTTTTAAAAAATTAATATATATATATATATAATACTATAAATGAAATATATATATAGAAAATCAATAAATATTAACAATATATTTATAATTAAAAACGTTTTTCTATTCTATTTTAAATTAATAATCTTATTTATTTATTAAAAAATGTACTAACAATACTTATATATTTTATATTTCTAGATAAATTTTTGAAAATATTTATAACGATTTACTTTTTTGTTCTCTTAATTGTAAATCCATTTAGTAATTTATAAAATTGAGTAGTTATTGTTACTTTTTTTTACTTTTTTTTTTGTGACAATCACATATTTTTAACTTTATTTTTTTTTCTTAAGAAAATGCTCATTTGATAAGCTCTCATCAATAAAAATGATATGCAATGTGCTGCAAATGTTTACTTTAAATCAAATTTTCAACCAGAAAAATTATTTTTCCATGAATTATAGATGTTGAACTTAAATTATATAATCTCGATCATTTTTTCTTTTTTTGTTTATTTTTATAAAAGTTTGAGGGTGATATGAATAATAATATTTTAAAAACTTGATGATACACATATCGATATTTATATTTACTAGTAAATATATTTTTATATGAAATTAACGTTTCGATTTAAATTACAAGCACTCTATTTAATATTTAAAACTGGGCCCCTGAGTAATATTTTTAGATCCGTTACTATAATCATTAGGTTGTCCCAATATTTCCATCTCATTTTTTTATAAAGCATGTTCACATATGGTTATAAATTGTGTTAAGTATTTTATTAATTTAATTCACACAAAATTGATTTTACGGCATATAGAGAATCCAATATAATGGATCATATTTTTATTTTTTAGTTAAACAAATAACTATGCACAAACTTTAGTTGCCTTATTCATTAGTTTGGATCTTACGCAAATAATTTTGTTGACAAATTCAAAGTAGATATAGATTGAAATAAATTTTATTAGGTCCTCTAACCGAGATAAGTTTACTAAATTAGAGTTGTTATATGAATCTCGACTCTTTAAATATTAACTATTTGAAATCGTGTTTTAATGAGTTGAGTTAATATAATTGTTAAAACTAAAGTGTTCATTCAATTAAGATTTTAAGTGACATTTTAAGATTTTTTAATTTTTTTTAATTTGAGAGTTTTTTCTTAAAAAGTGCACAAAATTACATGTGATAAATAAATTAGTTACCTCATTACTTTTTAAGACATTGAATCTCAAGTGAATATATGAAAACTTTATAAGATATTTTAAATTCTCAAACAAATATATCATATTCTTATAATCCAAAGAAGTCTTCATAAATTTAAAATGAATAGACCTCCTTAAGTCTAAGGATGTGATTTGTAATAGAATTTGATTTACATTTTGTTTTTTTAAATCTTAGTAAGACTTATAAAGTGCAAAGAAGTCTACGCGTGGTAAATAAATTGCATACTTTTATGAAATTGTTTGTGAATGGACTCATTAAATTTTTTTTTTTTTTTTTTCGGAACGATAGAGGCAATATATTAAAGCAACATGAACAAAGTTCGAATACAAACCAGGCTAAACTAGCCAATGACCAAACCACACGACCTAAAAAGCAAATGAGAGGACACGCTTGAAAGCGGCCTAGATGAACTCAGCAAGCCAGAAAAATTAATAGAAAGGAAGCCTACAAAGCCACTGCAACAATGCCTAACCTGTAAACTTCCTTCATCAACACTACTAAAACAAAAGCCACAATCATGTACAACTGCTAAAACAAAAATAAGAAAAACGATACTAAGATGCTACCGAGCTCTGAATTCCTGCCATTCCTTGTATGCTCTTCTGATCACCACAAGGATAGATCTCTTCTCAAACATCCATAAGTTCTTATTAAGACTTATAAAGTGCAAAGAAGACATATTTATAAAATTCTATTTCTTAAATGGACTTCTCGAAAAATCTCCATCATTTACTTTATGAAATAATTTATTTTAAACTAAAATTATCTATAAGTCCATTTTTAATTTAACACCAAACATAACCATTTATTCATATGAAAGTTTTTCACTCAAAAGTCCTTTTGTAAGTGTTTCCAGACAAAATCTAAATTTTTTATAATTTTATAACCATTTATTCATATGAAATTTTTTCACTCAAAAGTCCTTCTGTAAGTGTTTCCAGACAAAATCTAAATTTTTATGGGAAAAAGTTGAACGTACAACATTAGCTCATCTGGTCTTTGAAAACCGACTCAAACTCTACTCGTTGGTCAAACAAGAACTCGAGTTTTTACGTAACATAAATTTCCAAGTTTTAATCCTTTAATTAATTTTTATTACCACCAAATAAAAAGGAAAAAATTAGTCTCACATTTTAATAAATTACTAATTAAAAACTCGTAACGCATTATTATTATTTATTACTACAGAACAGATCTCTAACCAGCTCCTGACTTCTCTCTCTATAAAATCAGACAGTTTTCCTCTTTTTCCAATCACACACACTTTCTCCCCCAAACAAATCTCACACACCAACGCACACAGTGACGGTGAGAGAGAAACCAGCCATGGCCGGAGCCGTACCCGCCGCGCCCCTCCTCAAAGACGAGCTCGACATTGTGATCCCGACGATTAGGAACCTCGATTTCCTCGAGATGTGGCGGCCGTTTTTCGAGCCGTACCACCTGATCATCGTCCAGGACGGCGACCCGTCGAAGACGATCAAGGTGCCGGAAGGTTTCGATTACGAGCTCTACAATCGTAACGATATTAACAGGATCTTGGGGCCCAAGGCGTCCTGCATCTCGTTCAAGGACTCTGCGTGTCGGTGCTTTGGGTACATGGTGTCCAAGAAGAAGTATATCTACACCATCGACGACGATTGCTTTGTGAGTATCAGATTGTTGTTTGTTTATTTGTGAATTGTTTGTGAATTATGCGATCTGGGGTTTCTGGGGTGTGGAATGTTTGGATCTAGGTGTTGTTTTGATGTAGATTTAGGTTTTCTTTTTTTTGTTGGGTGTTTGATTTGGGGATTTTGTTGTTTGATTCGGATTCCAGATTATGTGGTTCTTTTCCCGAAAGCGGATTTGGGTTTTTAATTGAGATTAATTGGTGAATAAGTTTGAATCTAGCAAATCGATCGGTGAATGAAGTTAGAAATTAATATGCGAGATGACAAAGCTCAGGGAATTTTACTTTGTTGCCCTTTGATGTGGTTCAAGTTTTGAATTTTCATTTTGTATTTTGTCTTTCACATACCTTTTGAGATATTTTGGATCTTCAGGCTTTGTCACTGTATGCTTTATAACTTAAATTCAAGAATTACACAGCAAAATAGGATGTAGCTGTAAAACAATCTTGCCCAAATAATAAACATGGTTTTGAACTTATCATTTGCCATATATATGATGAATGCTAGTGATCCAAAAAATTCCAGATCTCGTGAATCACGATCCAACATGCACATTCTGATTGAAAAAAATATGTTCCTTTTCTTTCATGGTGATGTGTGCAGGTTGCCAAAGACCCATCTGGAAAGGACATCAATGCCCTCGAGCAGCACATAAAGAATCTCCTGAGCCCATCTACCCCTCATTTTTTCAACACACTTTACGACCCGTATAGGGAAGGTGCCGATTTTGTTCGTGGGTACCCTTTCAGTCTGCGTGAGGGTGTCCCGACAGCTGTCTCTCATGGCCTCTGGCTCAACATCCCTGATTATGATGCCCCTACCCAGCTCGTCAAGCCTCGTGAAAGAAATACCAGGCACGTGCTATGAATAATTTGAAAATATATCCATTAAGTTTTGCCTAATTATAAAAACAAAAGGTTTCATTTACGGTCTTATGTAGAATTATCTTAGTATGTCTTGTGTCGTAATTTGTTAGACTTCGCCAATTTTAACATGATGTTTTATGTTTATGAACAAAATGCATATTTTGATCGAAATAGCTACATATTTTGTGGCCATTTTATCCCTCAAAATGTTTGAGCACCCGAACAATGTTGAAAAATCAAAGTGGCCTGCTGAATATAAACCGACATGAAGAGGCTATGTGATTTTAGTTTAGGCAATAGAGCTGTATTACTGATTCTGCTTTTTTTTTTTGTGTGTAATTATTCCTATAAACTTTGAAGATTCACACATTTAACCTGATTTTTGCTACTATTTCTGAAGATTGTTTATTTATTGTGGTTATTATTATTTTTGGCTCCAGGTATGTGGATGCTGTGTTGACAATTCCCAAGGGTACCATTTTCCCTATGTGCGGTATGAATTTGGGGTTCAACCGTGACTTGATTGGGCCGGCTATGTACTTTGGGCTCATGGGAGATGGTCAGCCCATTGGGCGATACGATGACATGTGGGCTGGCTGGTGCACCAAGGTACCTTTTTTTTTTTTTCCTTTTCAAGTACTAATATATTATGTGGTTTGCACTATATACTGTGAGATACTGGGATGACATCTACTAAACTGCTTTGGAATAAATACGAAAAGAATCCCAAATGCTTATCCTACTTACAAAGAAAACACCGGTATAATTCCATATTTGAATTACCCCTTAATGTTATAAAATGCTTCACACACCCGAACTTGTACTTTTGATTACACCTCTCCTCCCTTTAAGAGCACTGCACTGGACCCGTTAATCCTTAAACGAGACACTTCTCTGTATTTCAAAAATCAGCCTTTTCTAAACATCCTAAATTATTATGCTCTTACAAACCATGCTATATTCTTTACCAGCCAAAAACGGAAAAAATGTAATAATTTTTTTATTTTCATTTTCATTTTCCAGGTTATATGCGACCATTTGAACCTAGGTGTCAAAACCGGGCTCCCGTACATCTGGCACAGCAAGGCTAGCAACCCTTTTGTGAATCTGAAAAAGGAGTACAAAGGCATATACTGGCAAGAAGAGATCATCCCTTTTTTCCAGTCAGTAACTCTCCCGAAAGAATGCACCACCGTTCAGCAGTGCTATCTCGAGCTTGCTAAGCTTGTCAAGGCCAAGCTCTCGTCTGTCGACCCTTATTTCACCAAGTTGGCTGATGCTATGGTGACGTGGATCGAGGCCTGGGATGAGCTCAACCCGTCTGGAGATGGTCCCGCTAAGATTTCCAATGGTGTTGCGAAAAAATAGATTCTTCACATTGATTTAATAATTTATAGTATCATTTNTTTTGGAGGAGTTTTTGGTAGGAATGTGAGGATGGTGTTCTTGATTTTACTTGAGACTTTATTTTGTTCTTGCAATTTTTGTTTTGGAACTTAGTTTTAAAAAAAGATTTTGAATTAGATTGGCCATTTTGGGTTTCTTGTTATAATTTGTGCTATGGTTGTGATGTTTTGTTTTGTGAGTTTGGGTGAGAATGAATCTGAAACAAGTTCTAAATCTTCAAATGTGACATGCATTTAATCATTTCTTCATGTTAGAACAATGATATAAGTTATCAAAGGCAATAAAAGCATGAAATGAAACATGGGTGATAAAAAAAATTTACGTTTCATATGTGTGTAATTGTGATATCATTAGACATGTATCATTTATCCAGCGGAATATGGAATAAAAGCATTTCTTCAAGTTCTAAATCTTCAAAGCATTTCTTCAAGTTCTAAATCTTCAAATGTGACATGCATTTAATCATTTCTTCATGTTAGAACAATGAGATAAGTTATTAAAGGCAATAAAAGCATGAAATGAGAAACATGGGTGATAAAAAAATTTACGTTTGATACATTGCATGATTGACACGTGTATAATTGTGATATCATTATAGACATGTTTCATTTATCCAGCGGAATATGAACATGATTTTGAAACATGAAATCTCAGGTAAAATCCTAACAAAATCAGAACTTCAATAATCAAAACTAGACGTGGCCATGGTCCGGACTGAACCGCTGAATTGACCCTGATCCAAATCGTTGCCACGGGCTTTGAACCGACTGTGGATTTATCCGGGCCTATCACATTTGTTTCGCACCGAAATTCTAATTTGAAAAATGAAATTTTAATTTTTTTTTATGAATCTTTTATTATTTTTTAATTATTTTATTTTTAATTTCCCTGTTCATTACTAAACCGGTCCTGAACTGCGGGCCGGTTCTGAACAAGGACAGCCAGTTCAATAAACCGACCTTCATTTTATCCCGGGCCGATTCCGATTCACAAAAAGTGACGAACTTGTACCGTCGGTTCTAAACTGGAATCGGGTTTTGGCCACGTCTAATCAAGACAAAAAGGTTGAAGATGGAGGGTGATTGAGCCGGGTTTGCCGCATGCTATGATCAAATGGACAATTACTTTGGGCCGAGCTACGTATGATGCTTGTTGGGCCGTATAATTAAACATTTAAATGAATAATACATTTTGCAAAAGCAAGTAGATGTGGTAAGTTCACCACTGCTGTATTTAAACAGTGTTTATAACATTCATCCTTGGACTTACCAGCACCACTATACAATGTATACACATTTTGTGTCAATGATATTTGATAATTCTTTATACC